CTTTGCTCTGCAGCCTTCCTGGGTGTCGTACTTATGGAAATCCTCATTTGGACTGTGCTGTAAGTGTAGAAGGCAAGTATGCTGCCTATCATGTGTCTGACTGCAGTCCATTGCTGTTGCTCTTTTAAATGTGAAGTCTTTGAATTTTTAAGAAAATGAGTGCAGAAAGAGGTTTTTAAAAACGTAAATAGGAGTTCCCTAAAAAAGAAAAAAACCCAGCATGCATCTAAGGTGCTCAGTAGCCCAATCACCTGTCTTCTAACACTTCAGTTAAAACCCAGTGGAAGAAAACATTGTGGCTTTAACTTCTCTCTTGGGGATTTCTGAGATCAGGAAGCACAGGCAGCTGGGGAGGCTGCAGAGTCCTGAAGGAAAATTTATTGGGAAGAAACTATCCATGGATGCTTTGCAATTAAAGTCAGTCCTGCATCCACTGGAAGCAATCCTGAAGCACCTTGAGAAGTAGTCGGAAAAGTGGAAGCCTTCTTCACAGGTGAGCAAAATGTTTGAGAAACTGGAGGACAGGTTTTCACATGGTTGTTGTTTAGTCGTTTAGTCGTGTCCGACTCTTCGTGACCCCATGGACCAGAGCATGCCAGGCACTCCTGTCTTCCACTGCCTCCCGCAGTTTGCTCAGACTCATGTTTGTAGCTTTGAGAACATGGTACAGCCTCCCATCTGGACAGAGAGCAGATCCAGTCCTGCTTCCACAAGATTGGCGCATCATGCGCTTTCAGACCACGCCAGGGATTCTGCACTGGCTGTTGATAACACAAGTGCTGAGCACTAGCTATTTCATGCTGTAGTCATCCTCCTCCTATCCCCCCCCCTTTGCTTTGTGTCTTTGATTTTCCTGATGGACAAAGAGGAAGAAAAAACCTTAAACAAGGAAAGGAAAGGAAATGGTGGCAGGTGGTTCAACCTGCTTTTAATCAGGTAATGTTCCAGTTGCACAGCCCTCAAAGAAACCGCTCTGATAGGCTTTAATATTCCATGCCAAAATGCATCAGGGTTTCTTTTATTTCATTCGCACACCTAGAAGTTCTACTTAATGACTTAAGTCCTATAGGTCTGGAGGAGCTTTCTTCATCAGCCTTAAGTGCAAAATCCAATTGCAAATGACATAATGCATTAATGTGCTCTCAGGCTTGCACCAGTGGGAAGGATCTGCCCCTTTCCAAGATGTGCCCTTTCAGAAGCTTTGGCATGATACATTGGACTAATGAAATTGCCTGAGCAGCTGGCTGCAAAGTGCCCACTTTCAAATCGTCTAAGGAAATGTAAAAATATATTGTTGTTGCTGGTAGTTTATTTATACAGATTTTCTGTTTGAACAAGTGTGTGTCTATTGCTTTTGTAAGCATGTAAAATAGCAATCATGGCTGAACAAGTGTCACAAATTCAGAGTGTATTTAGTGTCCAGAGTATATTTATTCTGTGTGGTTCCCCCCCCCCCTTTGGGGCCCTGCTGTGATGCTGCATAGCTGTAAAAGTGCATTATGGAGAGATGATGGCCTCCTAAAATTATTCTCCTTGTTTGCAGGAGGCAAAATAGAGGTAGCCATTTTAGCAAATGTTCTTGGGGTAGGAGCAGAATTCTTCAGCTGTGTAGAGAAGGGTGTTGAAAAAGAAAATTATCAGAAAATTTAATATACTTTTTTAAAGACACCTTGACTGAATGGGACTACAGTATATAGTTACTTCCTTCATTCACCAGTATGAACTAATAGGCAAAGAAAGGAGGACAAGAAGAAGCAGCAGAGGAAGAAGAAGAGGGAAAGTCCATTGCTTCCTTCCATCATTTTAAAATATATTGGGCTAGATGTACAGTTGTGCTCAAAACTTCCCCATCCTACTAATGGGTGGAGAAGCTGAGGGGCATTTTGCCAAATATTCTCCAAGGGTGAGGGAACATTTCCAACCATTTACAGTGGTACCTCAGGTTACAGACACTTCAGGTTACAGACTCCGCTAACCCATAAATAGTTCCTTGGGTTAAGAACTTTGCTTCAGGATGAGAACAGAAATCGCACGGCGGCGCGGCAGCAGCAGCAGCAGCAGGAGGCCCCATTAGCTAAAGTGGTACCTCAGCTTAAGAACAGTTTCAGGTTAAGAATGGACCTCCGGAACGAATTAAGTTCTTAACCTGAGGTACCACTGTATAGACAGAACCTGAAGAAAAAAATCTGAGAGAATATCTCAGGTCACCTCTGCACTGTACTTTTGAAGCAGCATCATACCACTCTAAGCAGTAATGGCTTTGCCCAAAGAATCCTGGGAGCTGTGGTTTGTTAATGATGCTAGGTGAGTTGCTAGGTGACCCCTATTCCCCACACAGAACTTCAGTTCCCAGAGTTCTCTGGGGAGAGGGATGGTTATACCACTCTAGGAATTTTAATTCTGAAGGAGAACAGGGGTCGCCCAACAACTCCCAACAACCTTAAAAGAGTTACAGCTTTCAGGATTCTTTGGGAGAAAGCCATAACTGTTGGTATAATAATGGTTTAGGTGTAGAGTATGGATGTGGACTGCCAACCTAGCAGTTCGAAAGCACGTCAAAGTGCAAGTAGATAAATAGGTACCGCTCCGGCAGGAAGGTAAACGGTGTTTCCATGCGCTGCTCTGGTTCGCCAGAAGCAGCTTAGTCATGCTGGCCACATGACCCGGAAGCTGTATGCTGGCTCCCTTGGCCAATAAAGCGAGATGAGCGCCACAACCCCCGAGTCAGTCACGACTGGACCTAATGGTCAGGGGTCCCTTTACCTTTACGGATGTGGATGGATATATAATTGATTATATTGATTAGGAGTCTGGGAAACTCAATAACCATGGGCAAAATCATTTCTTTCGGGCTCAGATACCTCTCCCCAACAATCAGAGGATAAAAATATTGACCTTTATCTCTCTCTTACACACCCACCCACCCACCCACCCCTGCCCCTTCTTCCTTCTTCCAGTGCAAGGACTTTATCACATTGGCATTTTGTCTCCTATTTCACATGTATGTTCCTTGGTAGAAAATGGTGCCGTTAGGGCTGACTATGGGATGGAGGTCCAGATCTCCCTTGGAGGGAAACCAAGGGGCAGCTGACTTCCGAGGCACTCTGGGAAATGAAGATTGCAGGAATAAGTGTTTGGTGCCCACTCTGCAAAACGATTTGAGAAAAACGAGGAAAAGGTGCAAGAGCTGCTGCTGCTGCTGCCAGTACCACCTGGTAAGGGGAGGGAGGGAGATCAACCAGGTGGGTGGCACCTGAGATTTGAAGGGGTTTTTTTTGTTTAACAATCAAGTGGTGTATAAATTTATGAAATTTTTGAAATTTGGGGTGTCTTTGACAAGAATGGTGGCATATACAAAATTGACAAACACTTTTGTGGTGTCAACTCCTTATAGGAATAGGTGTGGATGCTGTAATATTTGAAACTGGGCTGATGGTGCAAGGCCTGTACAATAATCCACCAGGCTGAACAAACCTTCTGTTTCTGCTTTTTGCCTTTGTGAAAACAAGTCTTTCTAGCACCAGGTAGGCCACAAATATACAGCCAGTGCAGCTCAGTGTGTTTGCCTGCAATAAACCCAGTAGCTTCTCAATCCATGGATTCACTGTGTAATCTACTCAGCATTTAAAGCGATATTTGGCATTTGTAGCACTTGTAAAATATTTGCACATATTCGGGTTGCCATATGACCTCATTTTCCAGGGCACGACTTCCTTTCCAGGATTAAAATTTCTGTCTGGATTTTTAAATTTTTGAAAAATGTCCAGGGGGGTTAGTTAGTTAGTTTTGTTTATAGTAGCCGAAGAAATTTTTTCTAGTGCATTAGATCTAAGGCACCAAGCTAAGCTAGTCTGTAGCAGAGAATCACAACAGAGCAGCATCTTAAACTAGCTACATACTGTATAAATCCCTTGTAGCTGAACTAAAAGGACACTGGCTCAGCTACAAAATCTTGGAGAAGGAGTCTGGGAGGGCAAGAGCTAACATCCCCCTGCCATTAAGGAGAGTCCATATGTACATGTTAAACAGTTTAATAAACTGTTTGGTGCACACTTATGTTCACAAAGATGTGAACATGAGCCCAAATACGTTCATGTGGCAAGTGAGGGAGCAATATGTATTATTATTATTTTGTTGCTGAAAGTTAAGAACATTGCTGCTAGCAATATATCAGAGCTTCTATAGCCTACAAATAGCAGTATTCAAAATGAGAGTTGTCATAGTGATCCATAATTAAAAGTAGACCGTTCCTCTTTTTTGCTCTTCAAAATATGGCCACCCTGCCTTATAACCCTGGAAGATAGGCCCATATTATTATCTCCTTATTGCTGGTTCTAGGGGAGGTGCTCAAGCTGAGAACAGTGGGCTGGCTAAGGCAAGCTCCTGAGCTCGTGGCCTAGAGGAGGTCTGAGGCAGAGATTTTCTGCCTTGCAGGTCACGACTCATACCTGAGCTACTCATTCGTGTGAAAAGTCTGTCAATCTACCTCCGTTTGGCTGAGATTCAGACCAGGGTGTTGCTGTACCACTGAATCTCTCTTCAGTTCAGCAAAGATGTGTGTGTCTGTGTGTGTGTGTGTGTGTGTGTGTGTGTGTGTGTAAGAACAATATTATTAAAATCATCATATTACGCCTTTTTAAAAGCTATTCTCCCCCCCAAAAAAGTTTCCACATTTTCTACCCACAGCACGACTCCAATCCATTCATCCATGTGAAACATTTAACACGTAGAGAAGTCGCTCCAGAAGACCCAATCCCCCAGATTGTTAAAATATTGCTGTCTGGATAGTGAAAAGGATAATTTTTGTTCCATAATCAAAAAGCTGCTCATCTTTAGGAACTTTGCTTTGAAACTGTGTAGTGAGGGAAGAAAGAAACCTCTCTCCCCCTCCCTCCCTCCCTCCCTCCCTCTTTCTCTCTCTCTGTGTGTGTGTTTCCAGGAAGCAATAAGCACCTACATGAAAATAACTCCATCCTTAATCCCCTGCCTATCCGTTTTTATCTGATGGCTTCGGCACGGGCAGGAAGATCACTGCGCGGCAGAAAACGACGGCGAGTTAACAAGATGTGGCCAGTCCCATGGATAAAACAATAGAGAAAACCCTCTTCCATTTTGTCTAGCACCCTGGTATCGTTCTCATGCCTAGGTCGCAATGTGGCTCATGGTGGGCTTAGTGTGTTGCCTTGTGTTTGGGGGGCTGCCCTTGGCTCTCGCCTCCTGCCCTTCCCAATGTAGCTGCGCTTTCCACAGTATCAACGAAGGGACGAAAGCAAGGTACGTTGGCAACTGTCTATTTCTTTTATTCCTCGGTGGGCTTTGAAGCGTTGTTTCGTGAGTAGAGGTTAGGGCATTGCCTGAGCAGAACCGCCCCCCCCCCCAAGTAGACGTGGGTCACTCCATGGCTCTTTGTTGCAAATGTTATTTTCCCAATCACTTTGTACTACAGCTTTCTGCACAGTCGGATTAGCTCCAGAGCAGACTGTAATCTGATTTCAGAGATGTCATTTGCTGATCTTCTGTATGCCAAAGGCAGAAGCAATATAATTAACATTGGTACAATGTTAGGCAAAAGGGGCACTAAAATTGAGCTTTTGGAAAATATATGTGCAGGGAAATGGTTTTCATCACCATGTTGGACCAACAAATAAAACATAGCCATGGACTTTTCATTTTTTTAAAAACAAAAAAACCAGACAGAAACAGTACCTATATATTTTATTTTGCTTCCAACCTTCCAGCTGAATGCTTGTTTCTGAAACTAGCTAAGATATGAAGCTTACTCTGTTTAAGGATTTTTTCCCGATTTGGTGTTTTTTGTTTTGTCTTGTTAAAGAAAAGCAGCAACAGATGTTTCCATTTTTTCAAGGGCATACATGTTGATCATGGCGACAGAGATGCTCATTCAAAGTATTATGTAAAATGCTTGCAAGCGTGGAACAATATGTGCCTACAATGAGCCCGCCTGAACAGGCAGCCAATGAGATTTGTAGGGAAGTGAGCTTGTTTTGTTTATTTAAATTTGTAAGCACTTAAAAACACACACACCACATCTCTAGTACCATATGCAGGAATTAATAACATGTAAAATAAAATGTAATACTCAGGACTCATATAGTGCCTTTTGATCTCCGCCGAAAATACTTTGCATATATTGCCCTGGCTGTTCTTATAACAACCCAGTAACACTGGTCGGAATTATCTCCACATTACAGACTAACTTTTTTAGCCTGAGAAATAACGCTTTGCCTAAGGTTGCCTGGAGTGTGCCAGTGGCGTTGCAGGCAGCTCACATTTGTAGCCTCCACATCTATACATGCCCATGTGCAATTGCCCATGGATATACAGTGCACACAACAGGTTTCCTGTTGAACAATTAAGCCGAAAGAAATAAACGATTATTGTTGCACATAATATGAATAATTGGATGCTCAATTAGGACAAAAGGCATTTTGATTGCTGTGAGAGTAATATCATTCAGTAATATCATCCATTCTTACATATAAACCAATGGCTCTAGTAAACGTTCTTTGGTTACCATTTTAGGAACAAAAGGAGAGTTATTTCTAATTACCGTGCAGATCCCACTACTCCTTATAGAATGATCAATGCTCTGGGGTGTTGGAATATAATCTAGACTAATCTAGTTAGAAATATTCAAAGCAATTAGGCAATGGAGCAAGCTGCCCTAAGAGTTTAAAGAGGAAGGTGGACATGAATTTTATCAGGGCGATTTTACTTATAGTAACATGTCTCAGCGCAAGACATTAGGGCAGATCCTTCCAAGCTGAGCAATTTCTATATGAACTTTGAAGTGATTTGTGTTCCATACTGAAAAGCTCACATTTAGGGCAGCAGCGTTGCCAAGTAAAGCACTTTATTTTTCTCTCTGTAGGAATGAATGGTGATGTTTCACTTATATGGACGAAAGAAGCAGAAGCAATTGAGGCCTGCTCCCTTCCTCTAGTTAGGAGGGATGGGCAGATTTCAGTTTTTCCTCAGTTTCTTATTTCTCCATTCTTAAGTTCATTTCTCCACATTTCCACATCAGCTTGCAATTATTTTTCTAAGTTCTCACAAAAAATTCATCAGCATTCCAGAGCAGATTTCTCTTCAGATATATGTTTCTTTATGCCATTTTGCCAAATATAAACAATTTTGCAAAGCAATTTCATCTAATACAATGTATTTTTTGTACATAATCTTTACAAATGCATGTATTTATATGCATGATTGACCCCAATATATGGATTTTTATATGCATTACATGACTGGAGAACTACATTGCAAAGTTTGGAGAAGCGCAAATTCTGAAAGATGGCTTTGTTTCAGATTTCGTATTGTTTTGGAAAGTATTAGGTAGGTTCAACTTGAACGTGAACTGAATCTCATTTACATCTCCCATCCCAACTAGTGAGTGGACCTGGCCACTGAAATTCATCATCTATTTGCACAAAAAGCCATGCTGGATTCTGCTTCTTGGAAGGTCATTCTTGGAACACTGGAGACTGGCTTTCACGACTTGAGTACTTTGGAAAGACAGGATAAAAATATTTTGAGTACATTATTGGCATAATACTTATATAGAGGTGTTACAAGCTTTTTACCTGGTATAATAAACAGCTATGAATCTTATTGGATTATTCAGATGTTGTTGGACTCCAACTCCTATAGTTCCAGGCTACTAACCATATGGACAGGGCCGGCCCACCCAAGGGGCAAGGTGAGGTGACCTCCTCAGGTGGCAGGATCCACAGGGGCAGTAGATCCTGATGCAACTCTTCATCGACTCCTTTTTCCCTGGCAGGGAGAGGAGCGCCATTTTGTGGTTTACCTCAGGTGCCAAAATGTGTTGGGCTGGCCCTGCATGTGGGATAGGGCTGATGGGAGTTGTAGTCCGCAACATTTAGAGGGCCACAGGCTGCTCATCCCTGCAATGGGCAGCTGCAGAGGATGGTTAAATTTATTACAAAGTGTGCTGTCACTCTGCATAATACAAGATGTGGCCAATGCCCTGCATGAGCTCAGTATGTATCCTAGAATGCATCCCAGAATCCTCTGTGGTGTACAGGAGTCCTTTGGCAGACATGAAATGGGTGTGGAAGGGGTTCCATGAATTTAGACATGTTCAAGGATTTTTATTTTATTAATTGCATTTCTGTCTCACCCTTCCTCCCAAAGTAGCTCCAGGCAGCAAACAACAACACAATGCAATTTTAAAAATCTGAAACCAATATCAAGTCACGTATTCGTACAACGGAAAATGGCCATGTTGCCAGGAATGGTATCTTTCCACCATTAAATGCCTGGGAGAACAGGATTCTTTAGAAATTCTACTAGTGTAGGAACAAGAGGCAACAACTAGCCAATTTTACGCAACTTTATGCTTCTGTTGATTTTGGTGAGTTAAAGATCTGCATTAGGCTGTGATCCTAAGTACAGTCACTTGGATTTCAGTAGGAGTGACTCCCAAGTAGTTCCATTTATATTTGTATCGTTTATAGCCCATCTCCCTTTCATCAAAGTGGTGGCCTATAGTATGTGGTTCCCAAGCATTCACTTCTGCAGGCACTAGGGAACAGACCCAGAGCTGCTTAGCTCCAGCAAGGTGGTGCCCACACATGCCGTCAGATCACACCCTGGTTTCAACACAATTAGCATTAGGTTTCAAACATCTCTCTTTGAAAGTCATGGGGTTGAAAAGTGCTTACCATTGAGTTATGCCAGGACCGGCATGATTAGTCAGCACCATTGGGCATCTGCAGAGACCCCCAGTTTGGGGGAGGGCACTGGGGGCCACCAGAGCCAGGTGGTGCTGTTGCCATTGCCAACTACCCAACCTCTCTGGCCAAGGGCGAGAACATCAGCAAACAATGGAAATGAGTAGAAGGAGCTGCAGTTGCCACTGCAACTCATGTGCCCCCTTTGGAGGGCAGAGATGGAGGGGAAGCGAGTAGTAGTAGAAGAAGAGTTTGGATTTGATATCCCACTTTATTACTGCCCTAAGGAGTGGCTAACAATCTCCTTTCCCTTCCTCCCCCACAACAAACACTCTGTGAGGTGAGTGAGGCTGAGAGACTTCAGAGAAGTGTGACTGGCCCAAGGTCACCCAGCAGCTGCATGTGGAGGAGCGGGGAAGAGAACCCAGTTCACCAGATTACGAGTCCACCGCTCTTAACCACTACACCACCCTGGCTCTGTAGGTGATTGCAGGATATAGGAGCATTTGCCAAGGTCCTCCAGAAACATGCAGCTCACACTGGGCGTTAACCCCAAAAATTACCCTTATGTTTTCCCAAAGATTTAGCCATGTTACTTTGTCACAAAAACTCTCCACCCAAGGCATGATGGAGAACAGCAACAACCGGGAAAAGATAGACATAATATTTTACAAGGACAGGAAGAAACATTACAGTCAGAACGATTGCCACACGCAGGAAGAATATGGATATAGCTTGAGTGCTTCACCTGCAGATTTAGAAATCATTTAATGTGTCGATACGAATGGAAGTCATTAATATTGTAGTTGTTGTATAAGGGATTGTTATTTTGACTGAAGTGTAATTGAAATTAATAAGATTTTGGAACACAGAAATAAAGTAAATAATCAAACCACAAATTCTAGCATGCAGGGGGCCACCTAAATTTTATAATTTGGCATCTGCATGATTGGTATTAGTAATTGTATTATAGTTTGGCATGTTATAATGAACTTATTATTGGATTATTGTAATTGAAAACTAATAAAAATTATATATATATACATATACATACATATATATATAGAGAGAGAGAGAGTTTGTCACAAAACAACCAAGTCCTGTGGTCACTCAAAGGCTAACAAAAGGATGTCAGGCCAGATCTGACCAGCTCGTTTGACCATTAACCTCTCTTGGCCACCCCCTCGGGCATTTTAGCAGTATACAAAAGAATGAGCCATTAAACCCCTTGCTGAGAACCTTGTCCTGCAATGAAGTTCTCTCCTTCTCCCCAAGGTCAAAAGTGATATTCTTCATGTTGAAGTTCCCAGGTTCAACTTATGTCACCTCTCATCAAATGATCTTAGATAGAAAGACCAGGAAAGTCTCACAGAAGACTACCACTGTAGATGGACTGATGGTATAGCCTTTACACACCTTTCTTTGCATGATTCATATAATGCAACAGGTACTGACTCCACAAAATGTTGCAATACTGTGGCCTTTAGAAGATAAACAGAAATAACTGGGGAAAAGGGAAGGCTATCAAAAGCACGCCAGACAGACACAAGCAGGGATTTGCAGAAGTAATTTATAGCTTGCAAATTTGTACAGTCAAACCTTGCATGTTGAATGTAATCCGTTCCGAAACGTTCAACAACCGAGGCGCAGATTCTGATTGGTTGCAAGAGCTTCTTGCACTTAAGTGGAAGCCATGTTGGACATTCGAGTTCTGAGGAATGTTAAAAAACTGGAGCATTTACTTCTAGGTTTTCAGCGTTTGGGAGCCGAAAGGTTCGAAAACGGAGCTGTTTGAGAACTGAGGTTTGACTGTACCCACTTATTTATTCTTATAACATGGAACAAAGTTCTAGAGTAAGAATGTGTGTGTGTGTGGAATTAAAAAGGTTAAAAATGCATATAAATGAACTGATGATTAAAGGGTTTCAATTTGAGAAATGTTCATTCAGTGATCCATTTGTTCCAACAGAGCAGTTCTCTGCAATGACCCAGAGATGACTCTCACACCCGTGAACTTCCCCGCGGATACATTTAAACTCCGGATAGAAAAGACAGCCATCCGTAGAGTCCCTGGGGGAGTCGTTCCATTCCCTCCGCAACCTGGAATTCTTGTGGATGCCCTATAACTCTTTGGCAAGTCTCACTGTGACCAACTTCCGGGGTCTCCGCCGATTGCAAGAGCTGAGGCTGGATGGGAACGCTCTGACCTCCTTCCCCTGGGAAGCCCTTCTGAGCATGTCCCAGCTGAGGCTGCTGGATCTGCACAACAATGAACTTGCCTCTCTCCCAGCTGAAGCTGCTCAGTACATCCGGAACATCACTTACCTAGATATCTCGAGCAATAAACTGGTGACGCTTCCTCAAGAACTCATCGCTGTTTGGTCGAACCTCCAAGCAGTTCCATACTTCCCCAATGACAATTCTAAGATCATCTTAGGTAAGAGGTTTAACGATGAAACTGAACGAAGGAAAGCTCTACTATTCACATTATTTATGACCATACCTCAGTGGGCTGGATCGATTTCTCTCTCATTTTTCCAGTCTTAACCGCAGCTCTCCTCATTTCCATATCAGTTGGTGATTTAAAACAAATATCTGCGTCAAAATTCACAATCATTTTCGTGCAAATTTCTCCTTACACACACACATTTGCTAAGCAATTATTCTACATTATTGTCAATAATATTTGCATCTTAATGCCTGCTTTATCCCACCCTATTCATCTCCATACACATTACTTGGTTGGAGAGTTGATTTGCAAATTTTTGAGAAGTGCTAATTTTGAAGGTTGGCTATGTTTCTGTTCATGTATGGTTTCAGGGTGTGCAAAACGAGGTGGGTTTGCCTTTAAATATGAACAGCATCAAATCCCTCACCCATCCCTAAGTTACTAGGAATTTAGTTTTCATTGAAATCGATGGGACGGAGTCATGGCTAATGTGTCCTCTTCAAAGATTTCAGTGGAAGTTAAGCTCAACTAACTTTGACTGGATCCAGCCTACACCCATTTGATGCTTGAGGCATATTTTTTACCTGAAGGAAAAAAATCTCTCTATACCAGTAGTTCCCAAACTCTCACCCCCTACTGCCCTGGACCACTTCAAAATTGTTGAGGGTCTTGGCGGACTACTTAAAGATTTTTCTGACTATTGTTTAGCAATTGTCATGCTAAGGTGTTATTTAAAAAATCTATATGGATTTCAAACATTAGTACAATAATATACAATAAGAATAAAAAGAAGCAATAAAAATACAATTAAAAATCAATACAAATATTTTAATGTAATGGATATGCCCGCTGTGTTAACAAAATTCTTCAATATTTGGCCTGATCTTTGTTACCCTTGATGTGGCACTACCAAGACCACTTCCATAGTTGCTTCCAAACCTACCTCTGAAGGATCTCCAAAGAGGAGATTTTACAAGTGTCCCAGATAGCTGATTACATTATGTCACGAATGAATGAGGTCTTACCAGAGCTGAACAGCAGTATCCCTTCTTTTACATGATGCTCCTGTGAACACAAGCATAAACAACAGCAACTTTTTGTGAGACAACATTACATGGCTGACTCATTTTCAGCACAACATTCAGTGCAACCTCCAAACATTTCTGAGAGATGCATCTGACTAGCAAGTTATGTTTCAGCTTGTACATTTGCTACCTCTTAAGTATGTGCTTACACTTTGAATTTCATTGTGTGGTTCCTTGTCTGGTGCTGCTCACGGTAATTGTTGCATTGAATGCCTAGGCTGTCCTTGAAAGTGTTTGCAATTTGTTGAGGTTTTCTGTCATCTGAAGGCTGCTGGTAGCACAAGAAACCGAAACTGTGGCTTTAGACAACTGTATTTACAGACCCTGGAGAAGCAGCCTGAGATCTGGGAGATCCCTTTCCATCTGTCAGAAGAGGTTTGAACAGAACTTTTCAACACCAGGAGAGCCAGATGGGATTAATGGAGTAGAAAGCAGGGATGCCAGTATATGGTAAAGGTAAAGGTAAAGGTAAAGGACCCCTGACCATTAGGTCCAGTCATGGCCAACTCTGGGGTTGCAGCGCTCATCTCGCTTTATTGGCCGATGGAGCCGGCGTACAGCTTCCGGGTCATGTGGCCAGCATGACTAAGCCACTTCTGGCGAAACAGAGCAGCGCACGGAAATGCCGTTTACCTTCCCGACGGAGTGGTACCTATTTATCTACTTGCACTTTGACGTGCTTTCGAACTGCTAGGTTGGCAGGAGCAGGGACCGAGCAACGGGAGCTCACCCCGTCGCGGGGATTCGAACCGCCAACCTTCTGATCGGCAAGCCCTAGGCTCTGTGGTTTAACCCACAGAGCCACCCGCGTCCCTACCAGTATATGGAGACAGAGCCAAAAATAGGTGGAGCCAGCTAATTCTAGTTTTCCCTTCCTCCTACTCCCTCCTGGCTTGGTGGCCCAGGGGAATGAGAGGTGGAGAAACTCCTGTTGTGGTGGCAGGACTCATTGTGCTGGCTCCAGCATTACACAATGTCAAAAGAAGAGGAGGAGGAGTTTGGATTTGATATCCCGCTTTATCACTACCCAAAGGAGTCTCAAAGCGGCTAACATTCTCCTTTCCCTTCCTCCCCCACAACAAGCACTCTGTGAGGTGAGTGGGGCTGAGAGACTTCAGAGAAGTGTGACTAGCCCAAGGTCACCCAGCAGCTGCATGTGGAGGAGCAGGGAAGCGAACCCGGTTCACCAGATTACGAGACTACCGCTCTTAACCACTACACCATGCTGGCTCATAAAACTCACTGGCTCAGAAAACATTGCAAATGAAAATCAAATACAAGATACAATAAAGACCTGCATTTAAAGCAGTATGATTAACAGGGAGACAAGATATTCCCTAAACATAAAAATCAAGTAAAATCAAATATAGAAAATGAAATGAAAACTCCATGTAGAAACATTATTAGCCACTAAACAAAATAATGGAGATAGAAGCTGCTCTGCCCTCACCCAGTAACATCTCCCAAAGATATCCTTAGCACTCTTGCACATATAAATTTCACCGTCACTTGAGCATTCCTGCCATCCACACTCATAGCACAGACTAACCTCTAGGCAACCATTTGTTTATGAAATATCTCTGGCAGCATTCAGCACAATTCACAACCAGCCCATTCACTGACCTCCATCTAGACTTAACATTTATATAGCACTTTCAAATTTTCAGTGCTTCATCATATGCATTATCAAGTTGTAAGGTAACAACGTCCTGTCATGTAAGCAAATATGATTATTCCTCATCTTGCAGACAGGGAAGACCGAGGCTGAAAGTGAGCAATTTGCCTAAGGCCACCTGGCAAGTTTATAGCAGAGGTGAGATTCAAACTGGGGCCTTCCTGATTTGTAGCTCCATCTCTTAGGCATTATAAATCAACTTTTTCTTTCTTTCAGACAAAGCTAGCAACACAGCAAAATGTTGCTGTCAAACACCTACCTTTGTACTGAAATTTGCCAGGTTGGCTTTTTCAGGAGGCTGCGGTAAAATCCACAGGCCTTACCAATGTGAATTTTATTCATATTGTCAAACTGGCAAATTGACACATTCCTTTGTTTTCCTGATCAGAGCTCATTCTTGCCATTGATTTATTCAGCGTTTCCACATATCTCAGCATAACATACCCTGCCTCCGTGTGTGTGTGTGTGTGTGTAAAGTCTGAAGCATGGTAGACACTTAATAATTCAGCATTCTTTATATCCTCTGTCACTGCCTTTCCTTCATCACTGAGCAGCAACTTCTCATATACCTCTAAAAAAAAAAGCATTTAACTTTTACGGGTCTTTGCTTGTTTCATTTCTTGATCTTTGCTTTCCTTGAAGACACTGTAAGGTGCAGATCATCTTAGGGAATGCAGGAAGATAGGGATTCTCTGCATAGTAAATAAGCATATATAACATGCTTGCATCCTTTGATACATTGCACAGTAACCCTTCATGACTTTACCACAGGCATAATGGTATGGGGATATTTCCATGCCGAAGTGTTTCTGCACAGCCTGACAGTGAGCATTTTATGGAATGATCTGTAGACTAGGGGACGATTCTTTTATAAAGACACAGGGAGCTGCCTTTCCTTGTTTGCACATCATGGTAAGCCAAACTACAGCTTTCTGGGACAATGCAAGAATGCTCGCTTCCACCTGCTCCTCCTTGGCCCTTTCAGCACAGAACAGCAATCCAAGGTTTAGCAGAGTGTTTCCTCTGAACCTGGTGTAATAGTAAAGGTCTTTCCTTCTGAATCACAATCTGTAATTAAAGAACAACCAGTGGTTTTCAACCAGTGTGTCCTTCTGTGATGCCCTCTTGCATCTCTGCCTCCCAAAGGCTTGCAATGGCTGTTTGTTGCAGCAGCCCTGGCTACAAGCTCAGCAGGTGAATGGAGCCTCTGGGGCTGGCCAGGGGGTGCTTCCCAGGCCCCTGTCGGGCAGTGGGAGGAGGCAACTCTATTTGGGGGAAGGGGGGTAGCTCAGAGACCAGGGGTTGGCTATTGGCTGTCCAGCTGGCATAGGCTTCCCGACCATTACCTTTTTCAGTGCCTCTGGCGGGACGAATTTGTTAATCCGTGGGTAGGAAAAATCCATGCCAAACTTCTGAGCATCGGAATTTCCCCAGCGGACTCCCTAAAGATGAACTTACGCTCAGCTAAAAGCCTTATTGAGCAAAGATTAGCAGACATTGAAAATCAACACAACCTTGCCAGAGGTGGGGGTGTCTGCTCCCCCAGGTATCACGGAATAACCCCACCACTTGACCTTCCATCATACATGTCATCTCTTTCATCAGTACCACACCGACTTGCATTTATTCGTGCAAGGTTCAATGTCCTTCCATCGAACCTGCTGAGCCACAGATTTTCCAAGGGTTTGGTGTCTCCGCTATGCGTGTGTGACGGGAAAACTGTTGAATCTCTTCCACATATAATGTTCAACTGTCCCTTACATAGCATAGCCAGGACTAAATTCCTGGGTCCTGCTTTACTGCGCTTGGTTGGCAGGCCTGTTGAGTCACACGCCGCACTGCTTTTGCAGGATACAGATCCTTCTGTTACTCTGCAGGTGGCGAGATTCCTGAATGCGGTTATCTCACACGCAAAAACCACCAAAAAACAACAACAACATCAAAATCTAATCGGACAGTTATGATGAGAGTGCATGTCGGATCTCGTCTTCAGTTTTCCTTTTTCTGTGAACCGTCCCTTGGAGCTCTCCGGGCCCCATCCTGTTATTTGGCTCTGCCCAATGACCCACCCTTGCATCGCAGTGTTCACCTTCTGTTGTCAGATATTTCGGTTTTTAAGCCTTTGTGCTTTTTTATGTTTGTACATATTTTATGGGCTAATAGCCGTAAATAAATGAATGAATGAAAAAAAAGAGACCAGGGGTGGCAGCTGCGGCTGCCCAAAGGAC